AATTGCAATTTTTGGTCGAAAAGCCAAGGACAAAGATCCACACAATTTTCCCTTGTTAATCCATGGATTCACAAGGGCGGAAGATGTGACAGAATTTGAAATGGATCTTCATGAAACCACATTCATGTTAATCCACACATGCTAGAGTGCCTCAAGTACGAAACCCAACACTTTCATTCTATCAGTATTCCACTCGCTGCCATCCAACTCATCATTATTATGGAAGCAAAGTCTCAAAACCAAGCAACCATACCCAAATCAAAAAGGATATTGTCAATCTGTGACTTTATTCAATCTCATCAGCTAACCCCCAAAAAGTTCCTGTGTGCGTTCCTGACAAACCCACATGACAAGATTGTTGATCAAAGAAAGAAATGGCCGGCCTCAGGTTTGGATTCAACAATTGAGCTCTTCACAGTACTGAAAGGAGTCATCACAAAGAGTGCAACTGGGAAGAAAAGGTGGAATGATATCGTCCAAGAGGAGGTGAGATTTGAATATTTGAAGATATTTTAAAGCACCAAAGATATCATCTGATGATTTGTTTTTTTCCTCGCAGGCCATCGCCATTGTTTTGGATCAAGAAGCGCCACGCGGAAATTATCCACATGGAGGCTATCAGAGTAGTGCCACTGTCACAGCTGAATATCTGAGTGAAGAGACGAAGAGAATCGATAATGAGAAACTTACCATCGAACACACCCCTTTCCTATACAATCTCATCTTTCAAGTTCTTTCCCAAAGTAGATCCCAGAAAAAAACTCCTGACCCTAACAAGGTGGATGAAAATTGGCCGTGCGACAAGGACGACCCGGAAGAAAACGAGCTTGTCAACCATGACAGTGTTTCATATGCTCCAATCTCTGATCCTCAGCTCCGATTGCGCCATCGGCATCAAAGTGTACAGAACTATTCATGTTTTATTTTGTCATGTGAAGCTGATCAGGAATCATTCTATCTGACTTTACATAGGTTGCAACTGTTATTTGTGGGATGGTAGCTTATGTTAGGAATCGACGACACAACGGACTTCAACTGCGAAATGGAGTACAATTTGTATCGTGCGGTATCACCGAAAGGGTTAACAACTAACTGATGTACCATGGCTTAAGTTGTGGGAGACGGACGGCCACCGAGGTTCTAAAAACCATTTCAGACGAAGCAGAACACACCACCAAATCGATATTTCGTCGTCGCAAGGGGGATGCCATAGCTCCGTTCATCTGTATTGACAACTTGGACATTGAAGAACGAGTTCATACACATGGTCCCGGGCACCGTAACCGCATGTTCCATGGAACATGGGGATATGTGCATTTCCCATCCAAAGATCTGCTTGCAACACTTGATGCCTCTCAGCTATCCTTAGAAAGTTTTACCCGAGCGCTCTCCTCTGTACCATCCTTTCAAATTGAACCATCGATGTTTATGCCTAATCTCGAGTCTGAAGAACACTACAAGCTTGTTTGGAAGAGCCAGATTGCTCAAGTTATGTACAAGTACATTGCCATACCCAATAAGAAAGAAAACTCAATTTCCCTCAATCCACCTCCCATCGAACTAGTCTCGCCAGAAATCCCAGACATCCGAATGCTGAAGCTGATGGAGCAACCTGAAAATAGTGCAGATGGGATTGGGAAAGTGATGGAGGCAATAGTCCAGCAAACAGGATTAAAGCCTGAAGATTTCTTTCGTCGTTTGCAAGTAATGGACGGTGACCTTGCGACTTGCAGAACCTTCCACAGTTTAAGATCACTCCGAATTCCGAGCTACCATAAGAGGCATAATCTTGAGAATATCACCTTTCAGCTCGGGGCCGCACATACATTGTGGAACGTAGCACACGGCATCTTCAAAGCGCACTTTGGTGATGATCATAATTCGCTGGACACAGGAGTGTGGAGGTGCTTGAATGCGCTTTCCATCCCTCTGGAGAAGGCAATCCCAAAGAAAAACTACTCATTGATGATTAAATACATGGAGCAAGTCCATGAGGCTACAATATGGTACGGTTTGAGGTCAGCATTAAATTCTTGAACAGTTGTGGTGAAAAGTGTTCTCATAAGTCCAATTTTTGTTTGTAGAGTAATCATGAACACAGATGAGACAGTAATTGACCAATCACAATTACAAGAACGTCCAAAAATGGATACGAGTGAATGGAATCAAATCATAAACAAATTCTATGATTGATTTTGTACTGGTGAGGCTCGTTCACGAGCGTCGAAGCAAAACTCTCCGAATTTACACAACCTCTTGATTCGACTCCAAGATTTTGGCACTGTAATCGAAGCAAATCGTGCAATGAAAGCTGGAGATGTTGGTCGCCTCATGAACATGTGGAAGCGGTGGTCTGTGATGCTTCAGGGACTCCAGGGAATTCACAACTATGCTGGATACTTACCCCGTACAGTCCTGCTTCTCACAAAATATTTACCACCAGACCTGGCAAAACTTCTCCGCCACTCGCTTCTCATTTCTCCAACTGGAAGGGAAAACCACTTTGTTGCTAAGGATTTACATCTAGAAAACCAGAATTACTTTCTAAAATTTTTCTACAATCAAACCGGTGTTGGAACTCAAGTTGAGCGCCTGAAGAATATCTTCTCACTTAACATTGACCTGGTGAGTTATTCAATTTTGATTTGAGATTATTTTACGGTGATGAAAAAGTTATTACTTGATACCTTTGCTTTTGGAATTCAGCTCCGCTCCCTATTGAAGTCCATCAAAATCGACAGTGGATCAACAGTCTTCACTCAGTCACACAAGAATGTGTTAACCGCAAATGCCCTCAATGTCTTCAACTTGATGGCAAATGGACACAAGATATTTGATTTAACACCTTCAAATCAGATTGTTAAGGTCAGAAGAGTGGACAATTCTTATACGCTAGGATATCAAAATATACTGAAGGAACTATCCGAAGATCCCCAACTCATGCGATTCAAGCTGAACATGTCTGTCAACACAACCATGTGTGAAGAAAACAAAGAAGATAACACCAATCCTGAAAACAATAATATGGAATTATGAGGAAGGGTTTCACTACATCATCCCCCTCTCTCGCTTCACCTCAAACCTAATCAAATCCTGTGCCTGCCGCCTTGCTGCTTTCTTCAATTTTTCAATCTCTTGTATCCTTTTCTTTTCCGCTTGAGCCTGCTTGCGCTCCTCGGCCGCTTGAGCTTTCTCGCGCATCACTTCAAGAGAGCATCGCGGTTGCCTCCTTTTTTTTTCTACTTGTCCTTCAACTCCTTCGTGTGATCGTTTTCTAAGTGTATCGTTTGTTGTACTTGAAGCGAGCTGAGCTGGTGTGCTTGGTTGATAAGTAGGGTCTGCTCGGAATCGATTGATCGTGTTCAATAACATCGTCAGCTGACCAGCTAAAACTTCGCCGTGGATGGTACTTCTGAGATCGTTCTCGTTCTTGATATATTGAATTTCATCGGCAATGGCTTTTGCTTGAGTATCACCAAAAAGGTCACTTGGGATAAGTGATCCACCCGATCCCAACCTTTTGTAAAAAAAATCCTCAAAATCTTTGAGCAATAGTCCCTTGAGAACTTCAAGTGCCTTGTTGTCGTGTGTCGGCTCTTTAGTTTCCCGCCTTTTTGCTACATTATACTTTTGCTTCAGTTGGATTGGTGCCTGAGCTACCAGTGCACATTTGTTCAAGTTATAGTCGGTGAAATTGAATTGATTCAACCGTGGAATTTCCTGCAACAACACCTGAGCCATGTGTCCCATGCAGTTCGAACACATGCATGGAGCAAACCCTTCCTTGATTTCTCTAGCCAATTCCAGTCGATATTCAGGATCATCAAACGATAGGGGTATGTAGCCCTTACTAGACATGTAGTTCAGCAAAGCAAAATTCTGATCAACAACTACACAGATAACAAAATCCAAGAAAATCACACCCACCGATTATCAACCGAGAATGCTATCCTCAGGCAGACCGGGGTGAGTGCCAACGCATCCATTCTATCATCGTCGGACTGGATCATTCCGAGCTCGAAATCGTCTAGATGATTTTTCCCACCTTTTCGGTTGGGTTCCATGAAAAGAACAGCTAATCCTGGTCGGCCGTCTCGACCACACCTCCCGATCATCTGACAAATCAGAGAGGGATCACCCCGTCCCATGTGGACCACCTGTCGCACTAAATTCCAGTTCTGACCCATGCCTAAAGCCAGTGTACACGAGATAAGAGGTACTTTTCCATTTGCAAAATCGGTGAGACATTCTTGCTTGTCAAGCTCGCCTGTCACAGCATGGAACCGACGGGAAAAACTGCTTCTGGGAATAAGGTGTTCCCCCGGTGTACCTCGAGCCTTGTTCAAAACTTCCATGACCTTGAGTGTGAGATTTTGAGTTCCGCTGTAGACTAAAGATGGAACCAAAGATTCATCTGGTGTTTCTTCCTTGGTTGAATACAACTGTAACAAGTCTTCACACGAGCTGAGAGGATAAGACATCGGCACACGGATGATCCGAATCTCTGGTCGCGTAAGTTCCCCCCGCAGAATATTGATATTACTGTCGACTAGCTTCAATTTTTTTTTTTATTGCATCTACTGCTGCTGGTCGACAAGTGGCTGACATTAAGAGCAGCGGTGCCTTATGCTTTGTCAACAGCTGAGTACTTAGTTTTCCGTATGACGGACGAAACGGACCCCGGTCGCAGTGTCGTACGTGAGCTTTAATGTGATGTTCGCCATCTTCAACAAGGCCCCATGAGTAAATCATGTGCGCCTCATCAACCACAACAAGGGCGAGTTTCTGCTGAAAGGCAGGGCTGAGGTACAGATTGTTGAATCGTTTGTTGTCTAAGAAAATTTCGGGGCTGACGTATACAAAATTGTACACTCCATTTAGGATATTGTTTGCCACAGTCGCATCGAAGTTTTCCGCCGTTGCATTAATCGCTGAGAATCCAGCCCGAATTTTCTCTTCGACTTGGTTGTCACCAAGGGCGTCCAAGGGATTCAATACTATGATCACACCGGCGATGTTTCCTAGCCGGTCCTTTGTGAGTAGGTTGAGGTAGAGCTCAGGAATTCTTGACTTTCCAAAACCTGTTGCCGCTAGAATAAATGTGTTCTTTCCTCGGAGTAGACTCAAGACCGATTCGACCTGGAGCTTTTTGCACTCCTGTCCATACTTTGTGAGACCGGATTCCGATATCGTTTTCTTCAGTTTGGTGTCGCTAGCCATTTCAAGTGCCTGGGGCACCGCAACCCCCACCATGCTTGTTGCTGTCTTCTAGTCTAGTCTGATCGAAGGTGTCTTGATTCTTGATTCGAGGGGGAATGGTGTTTTTGCCGCCACGACCAAGCCTCCAGACAAACCGTTTGAAGCAATGTCAAACTGTGATGCATGGTCAATCCCTGCAGATGTTAGTAGATCCTTGGAGGATACTTGTCTCACTATGAAACTCAAGATATGGATTTCCCTGGACTTACCGAACCTAATAAATTGTTACAAAGTACAATGCAGCTCGATTTCCTCTTCGTTTTCTTCATTTTTGGGACTACAGGTCTCTAAATCACACTTCAAGTTCAAGTGAAGCGGCCGAAATTTTAAGAAAGCTTCTTGCTTCAATTGTGTCTACTCAGATTCTTGAAAAGGTTCCTAAATTATTGATAATATTATGTTTTGTGTTTTTCAGCTTGAAAATCCTTCCCGTTCCAGCAGAACATTTGACTTGACTCATAAGCCTCTCCTACGGAGAGCGTCCCGCGGGGACGCCGGGGGAGGGGCTTTGTTAAGCTAGAAAATTCTTAAAGTTTTATCTACAACTGTGCTAAAAACTGCCTTGAACTTCAGACGTGAACCGGCCTAATACTTGTCTCACCACTCCACCCAAAAAGGACGGATGGACTTTCTTTTACGATTTTTGTCTACCGCCAGACCAGTTCTTGGGGAGTGTTATGTGCTTGAGCCCCTACTGGGTCTGGATGCCGTGACCCTAAAAGTGAATTGCATATTTGCAAAGATGAATAATACATTTTTTTTTGGAGCTCGATCGGTTTTCTGACTTTTTCCTGATTAGGTTTCTGCCCTATCTGACCTGCCAAGTATTCTCCTCCGGCTTCAGTGTCAAACTCAAGTCCACGATTCCTTCGATTATATTTAGCAACCATCAAGTGAGTCCCTCGTACCTGGTTTTCCATCAGGCTGTCTCAAGAACTGCAAGTACTAACACGGAATTTTTCATTTCAGCTTAAATATAAATCGCGAGACTTCGACTCGGAGGATCGCTGAATCATTATATTGACATGGGTGCAATTGGTCTCAGATTATCGCTGTTGGCTTTCAGGAGTACTCGGATTCAACCTTTCAGGCCAAGCCCGTCTTTCCATCAGATTCCTCCATCCTACTTCCTTGCCCATCAACTCCGATCCGCTTCTTCCAAGCCGCCCTCGGACCCCAAGACTCTCCGATCAAGTACAGAGCCCGCTAGTCCTACCTCCAAGAAGGGAACGAAGAACAAACTATCTAATCCTGAATCGAATCGCTCTCAAACTACCATCAAAGCCGTTCCAGAAAACCATGCTGAGAAATCGAAATCTGAACCTCAAGAATCATCTCCCTCTGGCCAGATCAATTCGAAGGACTCTCCTCGATCGAGCCCAGATGAATCCTCATCAAATCATCCCGAACTGCCCACCGAGACCTCCTCATCAACTCTTGCCGCCGAGATGCTCCAGGTAACATCGGACCTACCCCCACCCCCACCCGAAGGAAGAACCGGTGCAAAATCTAAGCTGGATGGCAAGAGACCACTTTCATCAACAGATCAACGCCGCCAGCTAGTCACTCGACTCCTCGGCTCATTGATCCTCACCTTGTCTGGCATCTGGGCTTGGAGTCAGACTCGGGATTGGGATAATGAGGTCGAGAGACGGATGCTCGGGAAAGGTGAGGATGGCACTCGTCTGTCGAGGTTGCAGGCTCGACTATTTGATCTGTTTGATGTCAGCTGCTTTTTTTTTTTTTTCTGCTTCTGTCCAACCAGACTACTCATATATCTCATTCCATTTGACCTCCAAGAATCTTAAGCTAACTGCGAGATCCATGTTCGATTTTATTATAGTACTTCAACAAACCCGCGTGGAATCCACTCTTGCCAGCCCCCTTACCTGAACCACATGGAAGGCCTTACACTCTTCTTGTCGATCTAGATGATCTGCTTGTCCATTCGAGCTGGGATGTAGGTCCCCTCGAAGATTGTTACTCATCTTGAAGAAAAAAAAACGTGAAGATTGATGCTGGTTGCTGTTGGATCTTTTAGCGTGAACATGGCTGGAGGACGGCGAAAAGGCCTGGGGTTGATTATTTCTTGAGCTACTTATCTCAACTATACGAAATCATAATCTTCACGACACAGCCAGCATATGTAAAGTTCTCTCGCATTTCTTCATTTCCCGTTTTATGAGAAAAAATGATAACTATCTCTGGTGAAATGAACGCAGCAAGCTGATTTGTTTCCTTTTCTTATCTTGCTCTACCCTCAATGGTATTGTCAATCATAAAGACGGCAGCCCCGATATGTGAAAAGCTAGATCCATATGGGTATTGCACGCCGTACAAATTGTTCAAAGAGAGTTGTCGGACGAAAGGATTGATCAAACCTCAGTTGATCAAAGACTTGGATTATCTAGGACGAGATCTGAGGAAAGTGGTCTACGTGGAGACTGATCCGCGCCTCGTCCAATTACATCCGACCAATGGGTTTTTGATTCCCAAGTGGAACGGAGACCCAAACGATACTTCCCTGGTTGACCTAATCCCGCTCCTAGAGGCAATCGTCTTCAATGCCGTTGACGATGTCCGTGACGTCGCGAGGGCTTACCAAGGCCGGGATCCTATTCGGGCTTATGCTGAGTCGGAGGCCAGACAGAAAAAGGAACTCTTACTGAAATGGCACGAAGAACAGGAGAAGCGGAAATCCAGATTCCATGTCGATCTTCGTCAATTGTTTGGATTGAGTTCTGTGAGTTCATCTTCTTAATCATCCCGGGTAACTCGTCTTGAATCTCTAGCTAAACAAAATTATGTACATGTGACCGGTTAAAAAGGGTAACAAAGATGAGTCGCCTCAACTATTGGTCGAAAAAGATAGGGCTCGAGCTCAACAGGCATATGTAGAGGAGCAAAAGTACTGGAAAGAGAACGAGGGTACATTCAAGAAACTGATGGAAGAAGACAGAGAACGACAGATGGCCGAGTTGCGTATTCCACTCACTGCACAACATTCTTTTTTGCAACTAAGGTTATTATCCTGTTTCTGACTGATATTTCCTTCCCCCACTTGGAAACATTTTAGAATGAAAGGTAGCTTGTTGAGCTTCTTGACAGGTCAGGTCGGCCCACCACCACCATCATCATCATCATCATCAACAACAACAACAGAATCATCCCCAGAAAACTCGCACAATCAGATAGAACGCTCGTCCTCCCCATCTTCATGAACCTTCATTAATGATTTCCTCCAAGAAACATTTGTCTCTTACTTTGTTGCTCATCTCGATATAATCACCTTTTCCGGATACCCTCTCGAACCTCCATCTCATCCACTCTTTTTTTTCACTTCCATTCATCCCCTTTGTTTTTTGGGGCTGTCTTACTTTGTTTATGACAAACGGGGAAGGGGGGGGGGCAGTTTGAGGGCGGGAGACTTGTGTTAAAAAATAAAAAATAAAAAATAAAGAGAGAGACATGTGTCTATATGTCATCACCGTCACACTCGTCTCTTTTGCCATCCTTTTTCTAAGTTTGTATAAATGTGCAGTTGTTACGTCACCATTCAAGTCCAAGTAATCACTCAATGCATCAACCAAGATCTCGGGTTTTCTGTAAGAAAAACAATGGTTGATAGACCATGAGGCTTCTTAAGTCTCTCTCCCTTGATTGAAGAAGGCTGTCCTATGAGAAAATGTTTGTGGTACATGCCAAGATCAGAGGATCCCATGTTCTTCCGACCAGTATCAAGCCATGTATCAATCCACACACTCAAAGGACCAATTCAGTCATTCATCTTCATTTTCATTCACCTCCACCAGGAAAGCAGGGGCCACAACCAATTTTTCTTTTTTTTTTCCCTTCCAGAATCAGCCATCCAACTATGGATTCATTAACTCATGAATCCTGGAGCCTCAATCAAAGAATTTCATCATCATTTTCCTTCCTGATTTCATCCATCAAGAATCTTCCAGTCATCCATTCAACAATAATCCTGCATCCATCAACCATTCTTTCCATCCAACATCATGAACCAGTTCAACATCATTCATTCATGAATCATTCTTTTCATCCACCATATTACTCTTTTACCATTTTCAGTCATCAACCTTCCAATCATCAGTACATTACTATTTCTCTTTCACCCAGAAATTTCCCCATCATGAATCACCTTCCTCACCTATTATTCTTCTCTCATCATCAGTGAAATCTCCTCATCTCTTACTCATCCCATCAGCAATCATCCACCAATTTTACCAATCATCAGCGGTGGGCCGCTACGCTTTTGGCCCAAAAAGCGTAGCATAGCGGCACTTTTTTTTCATCAAAAAACTGTAGTGTTAGCGGTTTTTTGCTACGCTACGCTGCGCTACAGCGCTTTTAGCGGAAAAAGCAGCCAAAAACCGCTGAAAAGCGCTGTAGTGCAGCGTAGTGGACCCTTTTTTGCGGCCCACACGCGTAGCGTTAGCGGTGTCGTGGCGGAATCCCGCTACGCTACTCTTAGCGCTAACAGCAATTCTGCTGCGTTACGCTACACTAACCGCTACGGTTAGTGTAGCGGCCCACCGTTGCAATCATCCAGCAATATTCTTTTCACCCAACATTTATTCTTTCTCTTCAACATCAATGAAATCTGCAATGAACATTACATTTCCTCCATCAAATATTCCTTCTATCCAACTTCATCAACCATCTCAAACATCACTTCATCATCAATATTCTTTCCATCCATCAGTAAATATTCACCCATCCATATTCCACCATTTACCATGATTCACTTATATCCATCAATCCAAAACCTGGTAATTTGGATCAGCAAAATATTTTTCTCTGGATCCAGCTTCACTCCTTCACCAGCTTCCTGGATCAAAATCTTTTCTTCCTTGGTTCATCTTTACTCCCACTTCTTGGAACTCATCAAATATTTCCAGCCATATTTTTCCAGCACTGTATAATCCAGCCGCTTTATTTTTCATTATCCATCCTTTGAGTAGTATCCAACTAGTACCCTCCATATTATTTCCCAGTACATTTATCTGATTTTCATTAGTACTTATCCATACTCATCCATCAGCCTTCAAGATTAGAAACCCAGTAGCATCTAAATTACCAGATATAATTACATCGTCATTTCCCAGGTTTACAATTTCCAGTTATAACATGCTCAAGCTTTTAGCAGTAGGCTTTTATTATTTTCTATACTAAGGACATCAGAACATAATCATTAGCTTTTTACAGGCCCAGTTGGCTTTTGTAATAGTTATTTTTTTAGGGTTAGTTTTACAAGCTGAGACAGCTTTGTATTAGACCATTTGCCAGTATTATCCCTTAGTAGAAAATCTTATCAGCAGAATTTAAAATAGTAGTAGTTTATAGTTGGGTTATGTACCCTCAAGATTTCTTTTATAATCATCATCAGGTCTTTTGGATCAAGAATTCATCTTCTTTTGGATTCTTTTGGATTGGACTACTTGGATTGGGATTCTTTGGATCAGTGTGGTGAGCCCAATGAAGGTCATACATAGTACAAAATAGTTATACATAGTAGTTTTTATGATGTTACAGCCTGATATACTTGTGCTACATGATAATTCATTCTCTTGTATCCAGTTCAGAAGGTTACAAAATAGTATTTTTACACATAGTTTGGTTACATAATATATAGTACTACATAGCTACAATATACTACATATCACACATCTCAAGATACAAATTAGTCTTCCTTCAGTACCTTCTTTCTATGATAATAATCTTTCAGTAGACATTAGTTATTTCATCACAGATACCAATTAGTCAGACTACATATACTATTTCATTCCATACTTCTGCTTTCTCATCCCAGATATTGGCTATCTCATCTCATCCCACTCATCATCCTCTTCTTTTCATACAACAATTATCTCATACTACAATTATTTCATAGTAAATTTATTTCATACTACATTTATTTTATTCTACATTTATTTCATACTACATTTCTTTCATATATCCATCTCATCTCAACTCATTATTCATTGCTTATATCACCAATACATGTATTTCACCACACAGATTTCTCATCTCACCTCAGAATATTTATTTCAGTCTTTATTATCTCATTTCTTTTTCACTACATATTCTTCTATCACAAACAGAATTTGCTTCATATTTTCTCCTTTTCAACATGTTTATTTCACACTACAAATTTGTCAGCCACATTTATTTCATAACCACTTGTCTTTCAGATAAAACATATTTCATACCATCTTCTTACTTCAGCTGATATCTTACCACTAGTATCTGATCAGAACCATCCACATGTATATAAAGAATACTCTTTCCCACTTACTTTGTTCCCCATGCTTGCATTAGAGAAGTAAACAGATAATTACTTAGCAGACATCACTTACTAGTAGTTACCAGAAGTAATTATTATTGATTTTCCCCCAGAAGATAAGAAATTGAACCCAGAAACATTATCCCCCAGAGCCTCATCCTTACCAGAATTCCCCACATCCTCAATCTCTCAGCAGGTGACTTGTACAAGACATCAGTAATAAATCTCATACTAAGATTACCCACAGAAATAGCCACACCTTTTCTTTAATTCTTAGTGTAACTCTCTCCCAAGCCTAGCTCTTTTCTTTGGCTTGAAAAGTTCCACATCGGACCACTTGGACTTTATATTTTCAGGAATGGACTTCTTTGGAATACTCTCTTTGGATTGGAATTCTTTGGAATTGGACTCTGGGACACAGGATTGGCTTTCAGGATCACAACACTCTGAGTGCTTTTGCTTTGGATCACATGGATTTTTCTTTCTTTCTTTTTCTTTCCTTCTTATTCTCCATTTCAATTTTTCCCCTTTCTTTTCCTTTCTTTTCACTTTGATTTCTTTCCTTCAGTTGTCTGGGGTCAGACAATAAGTTGGGGGAGGATGTGGTATGTCCATACTTTTACATGTAGCCTCATTTTTCACATCATTTTACAGATATTATTCCAAGTATTATTTCATATTCATATTTTACACATTATTTCACCCCTAGTCATCTCTTACAGCTTTTCAGTATCTCTTATAGTTCTCTAGTTATCATCTCCTCAGTATATTCATAGTTAAAGAACAGTATGTCATTAATTCATACATACAGTACATATACATTGCACATTATCTAGTTACAGTATCTATGTAGCATCACTCTTTCATCATAGTACATCACCATTACTACCTAACTACATACATCATTTCAGGATAACCTTAACTATATACATCATATACATATTTCTCTTCACACAGATTTGACTTTCCATCTATGATTAGCACTTGTCTGCACATAAAATCTATCTCTATTTCACATTATTTCTCATCTCTCATTACTGTTCAAGATTGAAATTACCCATATTCAGGATTTCCCCAGCCATGGTGCTTTGTTGTTGTATGTACATGTTGTACACATGTATACTCTTTCTTCCTCCTCATGT